CGTATCCGCAATGCGATCAAGGACGTCGATATGGTGACTCAGGTCAAAATACTGAAGGAATACTTTCCTAATGGGGCTCCAACCTCCAGGGCCAAGAGATTCAATCCAGCGACACAGAGATACTGCGACTAACGCACTCGCCTAATCCTTATAGTTTATTGTTTGTTCACCCTAGGCCAATCAGAGTGCCAGTAGTGACAAAAGGAACGAGATTTAATTTAGCTTAATAATCAGGCACACGTCCTTAGAACGTTGTTGTGTAAACAGCTAACCAGTCTTTCTACGACTATAGCTAGTGATTTTCGTGTAAATATTGTGAAGAAAAAATTCCTCAAAGTCGTGCTAAATCAAATCGCCGAGATGGCGTCGGCCGTACCCTCGACCGAGTCATCCAGGAAAAAAAGAGGACGCACCAGCCCAGGTGCGCAGTTACCAAAAAACAAAAAAAAGTATCCATCTGTCAGTAAATGGCTGAGCTTCCAGCCTGCGGTAGAAACCCAAAACCGCTTCGATGGTCTCTCTGAAGTCCCCGACGATGCAGACAAAGCTACCAATAATGAAAATCAATCCGAAACATCAAGTGTGGGTAAAAAAGACAAAGTCTTCAAACCCCCGCCAATATTCCTCAGCGAAGTCGAAAACATAAATCCCCTCGTCGAGGCGCTCAAAGTCATGGAAAATGTCGACTATTCTCTGAAAGTCCTTCCGGAGAACAAAATCAAAATCCAGCCTAAAACGTCTGAATCGTACGTACCTATAGTAAATCTGCTAAAAGAAAAAGCACAGGCTTTTTATACCTACCAACTAAAAGAGAACAAGCCCTATAAGGTCGTACTAAAGAATATTCACCAGTCCGCCGACCTGATAGATCTCTAGAAGGAAATTGAATCGCATGGCCATATCGTCACTCGGATCTCAAACATCCAAAAGCACGACACCAAAAAGCCACTACCTATGTTCTCCGTAGAACTGAAACCAGCCATAAATAACAAGGAGATATTCAATATCAAACGCCTGCAACACTCGGTAGTGCATTTTGAAGCCCCCCGCAAGTATAAGGACATCCCTCAATGCACGAGATGCCAAGAATTTTGGCATACCAAAAACTACTGTTTCCAATCACCAGTGTGCGTAAAGTGTGCAGGAGAACATCTCACCCAAGAGTGCCTTATAAAAACAAAAACGAAGGAAGTTAAGTGCGCAAACTGTGGTGGAAATCACCCAGCTAGTTATAAGGGCTGTTGTAATGTTGCTACGACAATTAAAGAACAATATATGCAACCTAAAACCCTGCCTATTCCAATCATCGTAAGATGATCTGTAATCTGTAATTAAATAAATTAATAGAATTGTAACAGCCAATAATATTTGAACCATTAAATTAATAAATAAATCAAATTGTGAATAAATCAATAATGAAATCTTTCGGTTAGAATAATAGTTAATAATATTCGCCATAAACAATAAATTATAAAATTGTAAGATAAAACAGTAACTGTTTTATCATGAGAACCTAAATCTGTACGAACACTTGACACAGAGAAATGTAGTGGCGCTTTGAGCATCAGTAAGAAAGCCTTTCTCTTTTTTTAAAAGAAAGATGATTGAGCTGATGATGATGGATCACTTCCTTCTCTCGTTCTCCGACGCTCAGTGTGAAAGGTGCTCTGTTTAAAAGTCTCTCTCTGTGTCAATCAAGTTCTAGGTTCACAATGTAAGTCTAAGTTAAAATAAATATCCTAATTATAATAATCTTAACTCATTCTGTCTATTTCTTTTTAATATTATAATACTTTTCACTTATCATTTTAATTCAACAAACATGTCTTCCTAATAATAAGTCATGGTCACAGAGGCAATGAACGTTATCGTTTTGCCTCTGTGGAATTGATTGTCCCATTCCCAAATAATTTGTTCATAACCAAGCAACAGAGAGAATATCCAACAACGCAACAATACCCTGAGTTATTGTACGTTCGTTCGGCAGACTCGAAATATCGGAATACTTAGGCCACACAACGAATTAATTGTCCCAAGATAATTAATTACGTTACACTGTCCTACTCGTAAGGAGCTTCAAAAGAAGGCATTTTCTGCTTAAAAAAACAAGCCACCTCAAATCCAAGCTGAACCTATAACTCTTCAGCCCTCCTCTCACACAGTGAAACCCCACCATAAGAGCTTGATCAAGCCTAACATCAGTTATGCTCGGTCTGTCGCGGCGACTTCCATCGTACCGGGGACTGAAACTCAAACACAAGACCTCCCGGAAGGAAAAATAAACAAACAGGACAAGCTAAAGTTCATGCTGTTCCAGCTCATGAATAAACTTGACTCCATGCTAAATCTCATTACTTGCCTTATTAACAAACTTGAAAATGGCAAATAAACTAAAGATTGTTATCTGGAACGCAAACGGCCTGGCGCTCAGATGCGTCGAAGTAAAAGCTTTCATTTATGTGCAAGATGTGGATATCCTCTTGATCTCCGAAACCCATTTCACTGAAAAAAACTTTTTCACTCTGCCAAAATATAATTTTTACAACACAAATCATCCGGACGACTCGGCCCACGGCGGTACTGCGATCGTCGTAAAATCTCAACTCAAACACTCCAAATTAGAGGGGCATCGAGAGGACTTCCTCCAGGCTACAAGCATTCGACTTGAGAAACAGTCAGGCTTTTTGGTAGTGTCAGCGGTCTACTGTCCGCCAACGCTCAAGGTTTCGCAAGCAAAATTTGAAAGTTTCTTCGCAACACTTGGTAGTCGTTTCATTGCTGGTGGGGATTGGAATGCGAAGCACCCGTGGTGGGGCTCGAGGTCGCAGACCCCAAACCCAAGAGGAAAGTGGCTTTACGAGGCAGTGACTCACTGCAACTGTTCGACGGTCTCCTCGGGAGAGCCAACCTACTGGCCAACAGACCCAAAAAGACTGCCGGACCTCATAGACTTTGCAATAGTCAGGGGAGTCTGCAAGCGTCTTTTCTCAGCTGCTTCGAGCCTGGATCTCTCCTCCGACCACTCTCCGGTCATTGTGTACCTGGATAGCCTCTTCGTCAAGCACAAAAACCTCGCCAAAAAAATCGATTGGAATAAATATAAGCAAGAAATCACTACGAACCTTTCTTGCGCGGTGTAAGGACACCGCGGAGGGCCGTACCCCAGAAGAGTTGGAAAACGCCATAAAGCTGTTTGCCATGACTCTGCGCGAGTCTATTGACAAAGCAACAAGCACAGAAAATAGTCCCGACGTGCGCAGACGCACCTCAACAATTATCGAAAGAAAAATAATGGAAAAAAGAAAACTACGCAGAGCATGGCAAAATAGCCGAAATCCCACAACAAAAGCGAGATTAAACAAAGCGATAAAGGAACTCAAAAAATTGCTGCGAGAAGAAAAAAACTCGCATGTTGAAAAATATCTACAAAGTATGTCGGCTTCAAAGGCCACCGACTACTCCCTGTGGAAAGCAACCCGTCGCCTGACTTAACCCAAAAACTATATCGCTCCTATTCAAGCCCTCTGGTGACTGGGCGAGAGGGGATAAGGATAAAGGGATGGTGTTTGCTGCTCATCTCGCTGAGGTTTTCCAGCCAAACCCGAGAGAAATCTCGGAGGACGATGAGAGACTACTCCTCTACTCAAATACTTTTTCTCCGACAAAAAATACTCAAATAAAACCTACGGATGCTAAGGAGGTCAAGAAAATAATCTCAGATATCAAATCAAGAAAAGCGCCTGGGCACGACCAACTGACAAGAAGGATGATCAAGGAGCTCCCCCAGATTGCGGTACGACACTTGACGCACGTCTTTAACACGTGCTTGCACCTGTGCCATTTTCCCGCACAGTGGAAAGAAGCGCAAATTATAGTTATTCACAAGCCGGGCAAATCCGCGGAAAGGGCCTCTTCCTACCGGCCGATCAGTCTCCTGCCAGTGCTCTCGAAAATTTTAGAAAAGATCCTGTTGTCAAGATTACAGCCGATAATAACACTCAACAATCTGATTCCTAAATTAGGGATTTTTTAGCATTCGCCAAATGATCCGTTTACGCTTCATCAACGACAAAATGTTCGATCTTTGGAATAGAATTAAAAAATCAAATATCCCATACAACACCAGATTGGAGTTTGTAAGACGTAGTAATACGGTCGGACGAAGGGTTGCACTTTTCGAGAGACAAAAATATTCAAGAAAGTTTAACATCCTTGTTGGTTCCGTTCCACGCGAGGGTCTTACTCCGACAGACACGGTATCGGTCGCTACTAACCGAGATCAGACGACTCCTCATCGAGGTTCGTTTAAAAACATAACGGACACAGCTATCCCCGATGAGGTGATAGACTTAGTTTCCTTGGGCCCCAAATTTGCTATTCCGGGCTGCCGTCTGTCTGCTAATGATGTTGTTACCACGATAAAGAATGTTGAGTATGGTCTACAGAGATCCAAGTTACCATTGGACGAGAAAAATAATATTAGAGAGAAAGTGGTAACAGCAATTAGACAGAGTATAAACAAACAACCCCCCTTTAACAAAGATGATCTCGTGATCCAAAAAAAGTTAACTCTTAATAGGCAATTCTTGAGAGACAATCCTGATATATTTTTTACGAATTCAGATAAAGGTAATGTGACGGTCTGTTTGAAAAGGTCTACATATGTTTCAGCTATGGAACATATGCTCAGGGACTAACATACATATTCCACAGTGGACTGCAATCCATTAGAAAAATTACAAAAGAACGTTTACAATATACTTAAGGATTTAAACGACCGCAAGCTTCTTAATCATAAATATCCTATATATGCTCTCACACAGACAGATACCACCTTGGCCAAATGCTATGGCTTGCCTAAAATCCATAAGCCTACTTTAGCATTCAGACCCATAATATCAACGGTCAATAGCCCTACTCACTTCCTAGCTTCTTTTCTGTACAATAGTTTAAAATCTTGTTTTCCGTCACCTCCTTCTCATATCAATAATAGCTTTGAATTAATCAATAAAATCAAGCATGTTAATATCCCCCATAATTATTGTTTCATTTCTATGGATGTGGTATCCTTGTTCACCAACGTGATGTTGGAGGACGTGGTGGATTGTTTGGATCGTAGATATGAGCTTATCGTCAATACATCCAAGATTCCGTTCGAGGAGGTCATTGAATACACTAGGTTTCTGTTTAACAATGTGTATTTTTCCTTTAATGGCAAGTTTTACAGGCAGGTATCGGGGAGTCCGATGCACAGTGGTCTGAAAAGTTAAAAAAGTGATCAAAATTATTTTTAAGCTGGAAAATTAAGTTTAAAATGTCATTGCAGGTTTTTTGTAAAGGTTTTGCATTATATTTTGAGAATCCGTTTCCCTCGATGGGTTTGAAGAGTGGTACATAAGTCTAGTCATCATCCGAAAGATGAAATTCGAATTGCATTTAAAGTCACAATAACCTAAGTCATCGAATAACTTTGCACTTACTTCAAGTAATCATATTCCTCATTCTGAAGGAATTTTAATCGCATAAAAACTTAATTTGACTCATTTTGGCCGAAGATCATGCAATACTTTTGAAAAAAAGTCCCCCATATGTGAAAAAAATCAGGCAATTTTCGTTCTATTCTAAAAATAATGAAAT